CCCCAAAACCCCAAAACCCCAAAACCCCAAAACCCCGGAGTGCTTCGGATTTATTGAACAGAAGTAATTACTAGAAATAAATATCTATCAGTATTTATTATTTTCCTTTTCTTTCCAGCTTAGAGTTTTTCCGAGCTTTTTCGAATAGTTTAGATATGTTGGGATCTACAGTTGAGATAGAGCTTACTGTTTGATGATGACATCATTCTGATCCCTGAGATATCAGATTCTATTCTGTGAGTGGCTCTTGTGTTTCTAATGTTCACTACAGGGTTATGAAAACTTACTTGTGATATCTTGCATTGGCTGCACTGGAGTTTGAGTTGGACCTTTCTGAAGCACTTTTTGCACAAAGACACCAACAAAGCCCCTATGAATAAGCAAGAAGACTTATAGATCATGATGAATGTAATGATGAGAGAGTTAAACAGAATGATTCCACAGAAGATGCTAGTGATTGAGCCTGACCACTCTTCCTCTCTGTTTCAAGCTATCATGATTGAGAGCATTGGAGTGTAAATGACTTCATTTACCAATTCTATCAGATTGTTCTCTAGTCTATCAAAAGGTCTGATCACTGCAAGAACGGCCAAGTGCACTATCTGGACTCCCAGCATCTCTATTGACAAGTAGATGCAGTCGAGCTAGCTGAAAATGATGAGCCACCAAATAAAGAGAGCTCTTCTGATCAGACTCGTGGAAGGGTAGAGTCTAGCAAATTTGGAGTTTTAGATGCATGTGATGAATTCTCCAAGCTTGTAGTACTTGTCAGGATCATAGAAGTCTCTTTTAGAATAGAAAATATAGAACGACATTCCAATTGCACTAATACAAACAATTAAAACTAGATACAAAAATATTAATGACACAATCTGAGAGAGACTCAAAAAATCAGAATCGATAGCTTCTGACAAACTTCAAACTAGAAGAAGCTGAAACCCTCCAAGAATCAGTCTGATGTAAATAATAAAGTTGAAGAGGTTTAAAATCTTGATCATCACATAGTAGAAACTGCACTTCTTCTCGTTTTCATAGTTGATGCACAATTCCAGTGTCATCACAAGGAAGTACACAGCAAGTAAAAGTATCATTCAGACTGTGGATCCGAAGTAATTCAGTAAACTTGTGCTGGATTCAATGCCGATTGTTTCGAGGTAAATATTCTCTTGCTCAATGTTTAGCCAGTTCATAAATTCTGGAACTTTTTGAAGCTTATCAATCAAAAAAATGTTGAGATTGAACTGCATCATCTTGTTCCCTAAAATCATTGCTTTTACGCTTTCTGAAAATTGAGTTTTAATGAGAAGCAACAGCAAATAGAGCTGGAGTTGATTCACTATTGACCAGATGGCTGCAATGAATAATAAATTTAAAATTGACACTCCTACTGTAGCTCCTGCACTGACTCCTGAGATTGCCTGAGAACTTGAAGACATTTGATGAACACTTTCAGAGACTTTGTAAACTATTGGAGAATATTTCTCAAAATTTAAATTTATTATTTGATATACCTTGCATAATATATTTTACAAGCCAAATCTACAAATTAGCCATTAAAATACTCACTTTGTGATTTTATTAAAATTATTGTTGTATTTTCTTCATAATATCATTTTGTTGAGCCTCTGAGTATAAAAGATTTCTCACATTTTATTCATATGCTATAATCCTTTAGATTTCATTTTAAGCAATGTTTTATGTCTCATTTCTTGCATATGCTTGGTCCTATAGCATTTATAAGCTTCTTCAGTAACGATTATTAATAAATGCTTACTCCTTGGAGTTTTCTTAACTCAAAGCGTATCCTTCTCAGCAGTTCATTTAGAACTACATCCATCTCTACTAAAAGTTACTTCTAAGCTTATCTGAAATTGTTCGCACATCACATGTTTCAGGAGCAATAACCAGTCCATCTCCACATATCGGCTTTCAGATACTATTTAAAAAGTTGAGAGAATTTCAAATGTATCCTTCTTCTGTCTCTCACCTCAAATCACACCCATCACCATCTATTTGATTATAATAATCTCAATCTACCTCTAAGTCATCTCTAGAACCCATCACTCCATTCCCTCTTACACTGTGTCAAGTTACCTTCTCCAATACTGGTGTGATCTGTCTCAACTGTACAGTTCTAGTATCAACCATCAGTCTCACCACTATTGGCATAATCACAGTCTTCGTCGCCCTCTTTGAGCCCATCTCCACATATTTTTTTTCATTCTTAGGCGTTCCAGGATGTGCACTCAAATCCAGTCTCTATTAAACAGGAGGAGCTACAGTCATCGTTGTTGGTATTATTGCAGTAGTCACATTCTTTATAGGGAGAGTAGAGTCAGTCTCCTCAGTGACTGGTCTTGCAAGGAGAGGTGTTGGGATCAAAGCAACTGCTGTGGGAACCAAGAGAGCAGTTCTTGGAATAGTGAGAATTGCTTGGGTCTGAGCTGTTGTCTCTAGTGTTTGGTCCATTGTTTTATTCTTCAAGAGAAGCTGTTTGTAAGGTACCGTCTCTGCATCTGTAGCCGTATGCAAGGTGTTTAGAGTATGGATTTATTGTTGTAGGTAGAGATATTGCTTGAGTCATGTAATCGATAGTAGTGCAAAGCTTCAAGCTGTGCAGGATGAAGTCTGTATCATTTCAGTTTGAATTATATCTTATGATATAAGGTCTTATCACATAACCGGATTTTCACCCCTAAGAAATGGTTCTTTGAGAACTTAATGGATCATATAATAGTAAACCTGGCATAAAAGGTTAAATGTTAAAACTTAATTATTCATTTATTTCAAAAATAAGGCTAAAAATTGGGGTTTTGGGGTTTTGGGGTTTTGGGGTTTTGGGG